ACCCCAAAACCCCAAAACCCCAAAACCCCAAAACCCCAAAACCCCAAAACCCCAAAAAGAAAAACCAAATTGAAGAATTAACAGATTTATTAAAAATGTCATATTCAAAGACATATCTTACCCTTATTCTCCTCCTTTTCCTCGTTCCGTCCCTATCCTGGAACCATAAATCAGGGGATCATGGTATAACTATATTCACAATGGTCAGGAACGAATTCAGAGACACCCCTTCGTACGGGCACAAGGTATTCTTGTCGTACCATGGAAGAGCCCAAGACGAGTTCCTTGTGGGAAAGACGTATAGGTCCTGCCAGAACATTCCGAAGTTTGAAGAAGATATTGATGCTACTAGTAGAACTTTTTATGTCTCTTATTATGGTGTTCCTCATAATACAAATCCTTTAAAGCTTTACGCAACAATGAGACCATATGGAACTCATGGAAACAGGATCCCTCTCTCAGTAGAGCCAGAAATAATTCAAATGGATGGAAAGACGCCTATCAAAATAAGATACGATTGCAGTCAAATACATGGAAGCGATACACACGCAGTTGTTGAATTAGAGGTTAGCAATGGGGAATCATACCAGTATTTAAAGCAGTGTAATGAATTACCGCAGATGTTCTGGACCCATTTCATGCAATTTTTAGCTTTAGTCAAGGCAGCAATGACTATTCTTCTAGTAGGATCTAAAATGGGGAAATTAAGCCTGTTTGAAAGGATTGATGAAAACCGATTTGATTTCTACAAGATTTCAATTAAGAAAGTGCTCCTACTGATTATTGTGATGAGTGTTTTCCAAGTTGGGACTTTCTATCTTTTGCCTTTGAAATGGTTCACCGCAATCTCAACGGTGACTTTATGAGTTATCGCACTGGTCCTCTGTCTCTTCTTGTTTATGGACTTTATCGATTGGATTTTCGGAATTGAGGTGGAAGTTGGATTTGAGGGTTCGAATCATTTCATGGATCAGCCATGCTTCTGAGAGGGTTTCAATCTTAAAGCCACAATTTCATTATTTCTTTCTGTTCTGCTAGTTACACTATGGTATTTTCTAAGACACTGGACTGTGAGCAATATATTAGGAATCTGAGTAGCTTGAGCAATAGTGAAGATATTCAGATTTAATGCTTTATACCCTGCATTCCTCATCCTGCTAGGATTCTTGATATTCGATGTTTTCTGGGTATTTGCGAGCCCTACAATATTCAACGGACATAGTATCATCCATGAAGTATTGAGAAAAATAGACTTTCCTTTGAAGCTAGTAGTTCCAGGATTCTCTCCATTCTTCCCGTGAGCAAACTTGAGCATCATAGACATCATCGTGCCTACATTCTATATCAGTTTTATTTCAAGGTTCGGGAAAGAACAGGGCACGAATGCATATTATCTGGCTCATGTGATGATGTATGCTATTAGCTTGGGAATTTTCACATTTGTAATGGTATACACCAAGTCACAGCAGCCTGCGCTTATGTATATAATTCCAAGTCTGTTCTTGACAACTTTCATCACAGCAGGGATGAGAAAGGAATGGGGCTCAAAGCTATCGATGAGCTCTGTTATTGAAGGTGAAGGCTACAATCCTTCAGATGAAAGTTCTGATAAACAGCCAGGTGAAGCCAGTGCGAGAGGTATGGCAAGATTTGATCCCAAACAATTTAATAAAACTGAAGATCATCAAAATTTCAAGAAATTTGAAGATGATCCTGCTGACGATGTGAGAGATGCTGAGGATGGACATGCTGAGTTCAAAGAGGAAGTTAAAGAAAGTAGTCAAAATTAACAGTAGTTTAATTCATTTCAATTCTGGTTTTATTTAGAGGGGTTTTGGGGTTTTGGGGTTTTGGGGG